TGAACTGGATTTTATCTCTACTTAAAATTGTGGCTATCTTTTTTGTTATGAGTCGATAAGAGTTAAGGGAGACTACTGTTTTTTTTTATTATAGATACGTAAATGTTTATAGCTGATGTCAGGTTATCTACTTAGAAAGATCTTTATATATATAATTAGATCCTTGACGTAAAAATACGCAGGCTGGGTACTAGAATGACTCGAAGTTCTAGTTATTGTCAATGATGTGGGGTGGACGGAGGGGTAGGAAAAAGAGTCACTGGCAGAAATAATATCCCGAAACAGCTGTAGGGTGTGTACTCCTAACGGAGTCGGTAAGTTGGTTGAAGAGTAAGGGACAGCCGTCGATGGGGGCTGGTTTGAGGCTTGTTAAAAAGAGTGTTATCTATGTCTTACCGAGGTGAGATAAGTGAAATATGGATTATCGGCGTGTACTTGGAGTGCTATAGGGAGGGTATGCCGGTGTTAGAGGCCGAATGGAAACTAGTCTGAAAGGGGGGGGGGGCAGAGAAGGATGATGGGAAGGGGCTGAGAAGGAAAATGAACTGGAGGATGGATGGATAAACGAAAGACTATTGAGAGAAGAGGTCAAGCTCACACAAGTCGATGATGATGATAGGTTAGGGAAAAGATCGAAGTCTTCGAGGGGCGGTCGGTGGCAATCGACTGGGGCTGCAAGGAAGGCCGATCAGCTAACAGCTCGACAACTCTAAAACAAGCAGAAAAGAGACTCACAAAGTTCGATGAATAAAATTGGAAAGCTGGATAGGCTCATGCAATCTGTGAGTCAGGCTTGCGCAGACAGGAGGTGAAAACGGGGTGAGATCAAAGAGTCGAACGGCCTTCGTCTTTGACTGATTACCCGCGAGTCGTATGGTGTCAGGATGATGCTGATGACAGTCGATGGGAATGATGTTAAGTGTAGGCTGCTGAGTTCTCTTGGTGAGTTTTTGGTGATGTGATGTGGGGGGGGGAAGCTATGGTTTTCCTGCTTTCTCTCTACTTTAGGGGAGCTGGGAGGGAAAGAGAGAGGAGGGAAGTAATGAGGTTGGGTCTTGAGTTTGTTTTCTTGGAGGGTGAGTGGAGAGGGGTGTACATAAATATATGCGTGTTTGTGAAGGATTTAGGAAGAGGAGGTGAGTTGGGGAAGATAGGAAGAGTGAGTTTGGCTTGTTTACACATTCCAGATAAGGGATCCAAGGCTTTCTCTCTGATGAGAAGGAAGATACGGCCAAACAAAGCACCAAACCAACTTACGGGGGCGAAAGTCAATGGGTCCTTCGACTAGTGAGTGATATGCGACTTTTTGGGGAGATGGAGATCATGAATCAAGAGGATAAGAATATCCCGAATGAGTGAACCTTCTTGTCTTATCTTGGTCTGAGATGCGGCAGCGGCTGGCAGGTTGAGATTGGATGAGTGAGTTTAAGCAGCCAGCGTCATCGAAATCCAATCCAAATTTCGCCCTAGGAGGGGCGATTGTGTAGGAAAGATGCAACTAAAATAAGCTCAAGTTTACTTTGGTTCGTTTATGGAGTGGAGAGATACATACGTTTCTCTGCCGGATCAAATCAAGCGGTCATCATCAACGGATCAACAAAAGAGAGAGAGAGAAACAAGAATTACTGTTGTAGAGACGGATAGAAAACTCAGGTGATTGATGACCGACGCCTACAAACAAGAGGCCGGGGCCCGCAAGGAAAATGGAACGGCAGACAGGTGCAGTCTAAAAAGTGCCTTGTTTTTTTTTTCTTCCTTGTGGATTGTTAAACAGGCGTGTTTTCTTCAGCCGGTGATGACCATGTCCATGTCGTCGATGGAGGAGGTTAGTTATAGTCCTGAGTTAGAATCTAGTCTCTCTCTCTCTTTCAGCATGAGCAATTAGCGTATCAGCCATTTCATTTCATTTGATGCAAATCAAAGCAATCAAGCAATCCGAATCCCAAGTGATTGGTTGGTTGATTGATCCCATCGGAATTTCTTGAGAGATTCGAATTACTTCACCAAAACAAGTCTCTTGCTTTTCTTCCATCTGGCCTGCGTGAAAAGAAACCCGGTCGGAACGATTGGGGGAGTACATAGGGACATTATCTACCCCAAATTGGGTGTAGCTGCACATATATTGGAAGTTGAAGGTGAAAAAAAAAACGGAAAGCCCTTGGGTGTAGATGGACAACCCCATTTCAAGGATCGAAGGGAGTTGTGACGATAACCTTATCGACGTCTCCGTATCATTCTTAATGGCAAGTACTGTGGAATTGGATGACAGCATTTGTTTTTTTCATTTCGCCAGTTCATTGAACTTCAGATCAGCTCTGATCAGCTGCCCCAGGCTGCCCCCGATCAGGATGAGTTTCGACAGCCGCATACATACAACCGTCTTGACGTCATCTAGTTAGCATAGCATTCAATCGAGCTTCCGACTTGAAATGTACAATTCTTCGACGAACGAAAAGCCGACTTCATGAACCACTATTACCAGTCACTCAAGAGAATGATGCACTGAGAAGTAGATACCTAGGACTGAGCTTCAGGATATGTAAACAGTCGCTCGGGAGAGACCCGGGAAGAACCCATCAGCGCCGATTGGATTTGTAAAGGGGAAACGCTTAATAACTGCAAGTGAGAAGGGTCTATCAACTCGGCTCCTTTTAACAGAGGGCATGGATCAAAGCCAGAGTTCACATAATGTGGCGAGACAGATTGGATGGCTCAATCAATCGACAAATTGAGAGCAACTCAAGCTAATCTATCCAACGGTCTCCCTCTAATGGAAGACTGAAGACAAAAATCTCGGAAGGGTTCGAATATAAACTCATTGGTTCAATATAATATATTGCAACTCGAGACGAGCACTACAAATTTAAACGAGCATCAGCAATCACATCGAAGCAGAATGTATGCAGCGCTTCAGAATTCCAAGCCGGCCTGCTCGATAACAATGGCAATCCATCAATCGACAGACCAGAGGGACTCGGTTGAAGCTCCATTCCAGCTAGCATAAATAACACCAACACGGTGTGGATCATGATACATTGTGCACGTTGCAGGTAGCAATCCATTCTTATTCACTTGGTTTCATAGAATTCTGAGACTGGGCTCTCGTCTCTCTATGTGGCTCTTCGATTGGATCGAAGGAAAAGCTGTTTCAATTTTGAGATTCAAATTCGCAAACCGGTTCGAACCGTCATCCAATCCGAATTAGTATATCGGCTAGTATGACCGCCTCTCATGAAGTGCGCGGTAGAGACGGGTTCGACTCCCGTATTCGGAAGCGAAGGCCCAGGAGGGTAGCTTGTGCCTGAATTTTTGCTTCCCAGAACATTGTCTATGGCATGAAACATGTCTTTGGGAGGCCAGTTCTTTTATTGTTTTTGAGTGAAATTTGGGCAATGGCATTGCACACTATGAATCTAATCTAAGTAACATCCGCGTGAAATGAGTGAAACACAATCCAAACCCAACACAACTACCTAAATGCTAGTGATACAAAGAAAGGGACTCGGAAAAACAAGTCCCGTTTTTTCGCCAACGACTCCCAACGACCGTCAGCAGACGTCCGTTGGGAGTTGTCTTCTAAAGTTTGGGCGGATTCTGGGAGTCGTCCGCCCAATTTCATTTTTATTTTTTTTATTATTTTTTTTGGGAGTCGACTCCCCAAACCACCCCTCATGTATGCACTGCAAATGTGATTATATCAGATTCCCACATCTGGCATTACATCAGATGAAAAAACCTGATTTTACATCAGACAAAACTGGTATTATATCTATCAGGAGTGATATTATATCTACCCAAAATTATGTTATATCTATCTCAAGAGATATTGCATCAGCCCAACCTATTTAATATCAACATAACTGATTTTATATCAGATTTTTATATCTGATACAAATTTTTAGCCCATGGGCATTACATCAGATGGAAAAATCTGATATGAATTCAGTTATGTTGAAATTGAATAGGTTGGTCTGATTTAAAATCTTTCATGATAGACACAATATCATTTTAGGTAGATATAATAACAATTCTGGTAGATACAATCCCAGTCTTTCCTGATGTAATATCAGGTGTTTTTATCTAATGTAATGCCAGATTTAGCAATCTGATACAATCATTTTGGCAGTGATGAGTGGGTTTGGAAATCGCTCCCTCCCACTTGACCGGAAGGAACCCCTTCTGGTCAATGAGGTGTAGCTTCCTCATCGACCGGAGGAGAGTCCTTCCGTTCGATGAAGCCCTTGCTGCAAACCTCCCAACCTCATCGACTGGAAGGGATTCCTTCCTGTCGATGAGGTATAGATTCCTCATCGATTGGAAGGGATTCCTTCCAGTCAATGAGGAGGCTAAACCTCATCAACAGGAAGGAATCCCTTCTGGTTGATGAGGTATAGCTTCCTCATTGACCGGAAGGACTCTCCTTTGGTCAATGAGGAAGCTAAACCTCATCAACCGGAAGGAATTCCTTCCAGTTGATGAGTTCAATCTTCCTCATCAACTGGAAGGGATCCCTTCCGGTGTGGAACTTTTTAAGCTAAAGAAAAGAGCTTAGAGGGGAAAAGAACAACTACACAGGGGAAAATGTGAGTTGAAGACTTGGATGCTGATGAAGCTGCCCTCTTGTCAAGGCTTGGGAGATAGTTACACTAAGAATTAAAGAAAAGGTGTGGCTATTTCTGTGGGTAATCTTAGTATGAGATTTATTACTGATGTCTTGTATAAGTCACCTGCTGAGAGATTGAGGATGTGGGGGATTCTTATAAGGATAAGGATCTGGGGGATAATGGTTTCTGGGTTCAATTTCTTATCTTCTGGGGGAAAATCAATAATAATTACTTCTGGTAACTACTAGTAAGTGATGTCTGCTAAGTAATTATCTGTTTACTTCTCTAATGCAAGCATGGGGAACAAAGTAAGTAGGAAAGAGTATTCTCTATATACATGTGGGTGGCTCTGATCAGGTACTAGTGGTAAGATATCAGCTGATGTAAGAAGATGGTATGAAATAAGTTGTATCTGAAAGACAATTGGTTATGAAATAAATGTGGCCGACAAATGTGTAGTGTGAAATAAACATGTTGAAAAGGAGAAAATCTGAAGTAACTTCTGTTTGTGATAAAAATAATATGTAGTGCAAAAAGAAATGAGATAATAAAAGACTGAAATAAATATTCTGAGGTGAGATGAGAATTCTGTGTGGTGAAATATATATGTAGGTGATATAAGCAATGAGTAATGCGTTGAAATGAGATGTATGATGAGAATGTAGGTGATATAAGCTATGTGTACTGAGTTGAAATGAGATGTATGATGAGAATGTAGGTGATATAAGCCATGTGTATTGAGTTTGAAATGGAATGTAAGAATGAAATACTTGTAGTATGAAATAAATGTAGAATAAAATAAATGTAGAATGATGTAATTGATGTATGAAAAGAAGTGGATGATGAGTGAGATGAGATGACAATATCTGGATGAGAAATCAGATGTATGGGATGAAACAGTATATGTAGTCTGAATAAGTGATATCTGAGATGAAATAAATAACATTTACTGAAAGATTATTATCATAGAAAGAAGGTACTGAGGGAAGACTAATTTGTATCTTGAGATGTGTGATATGTAGTATGTTGTAGCTATGTAGTACTATATATTATGTAACCAAACTATATGTAAAAAATACTATTTTGTAACCTTCTGAACTGGATACAAGATAAAGGGGTATGTAGCATATGCATATCTGGTTGTAATAACATGAAAACTACTGTAAATAGCTATTTTGTACTATATATGACCTTGATTGGTCTCACCACACCGGTCGATGAGGGATATCTTCCTCATCAACCGGAAGGAATCCCTTCCGGTCCTTCCGGTCGATGAGGTTTAGCTTCCTCACTGACCGGAAGGGGTTCCTTCTGGTCAAGTGGGAGCGACTCCCAAACCCCCTCATACATGAGGGGTGGTTTGGGGAGTCGACTCCCCCCCCCAAAAAAAATAAAAAATGAAAATGAAATTGGGCGGACGACTCCCAAAATCCGCCCAAACTTTAGAAGACGACTCCCAACGGACGTCTGCTGACGGTCGTTGGGAGTCGTTGGCGAAAAAACAGGAGTCGTTTTTCCGAGTCCCTAAAGAAATTCAACTTTCAAGGAGAATGAGGATATCTTGAGAGGAAAAAAGGGGAAATGAGTAGAGGACAAGAAATATAAAGAGAGATGAGAGATCATTGAGAAAAGTGTTCTGAGAATAGATTTGTGTCCCGGAGGAAACAGGACACTGCCTCCTTAGCCCACCAATTGTTGAGTATCTTGTCAAGCTGTTTGGCCTTGAAACAAAAGGTTATTTCCATTGGTAGTATGTCTGCCCTATGCAAAGTTATCCACTTTCCCAGTTTGAGTGAACACCTGGCTTATAATAATACAGGTGTGGGGTATCATGCTTTGCACTACAACCCCAAGTGGCCCTGAGTGCAGCCCATCCACATTTCTTACAATGGTACAACTGGACACATGGAATGTCTATTGAGCAATCAGAATATCCACTGAACACCCTACTGGAGAATTTACTTTCAGTGCCAGTTGGATTGTGAGTGAATCCGGCTCGTTCAGCTAAGGGATTGTCCCGAACCTCGGGCTTTTGGGTCTGACCCAATTCCCAGCCCCGGGGTCCGGGAATCGGGATGGGCTCTTGGTAAATCCCAAAAACCCGGGGGTTTTTGGTAGTTTCTTTTAGCAGATATTTTTTTTATTTCTTGATATTTTTTACTCGGTTGTTGTGTATTACAAGTAATTTTTTTGTGAAATAGTATTGATATTGATAAGAAATGAAAAGAAGAAGAAAAAAAATAGCTAGAAGGGGCCATCAAAGGTCTGGAACCAATTCTTCAAGCACAGCAGACTCTCAATTGTCGTGGGTTTAAGAGATGATTGCTGCCACGAGACGACCCAACAACCAGTGGAATAGACACGTTCCGATGCAGCACTGGTGGCAGGGATCGAAAGGTACCGTCAGGCCATCAGGGAGAGTTTTGGGAATGATTTCTGTCGGCTTGCCCAATAAGGCAGGACTTGGATGTCCTTGGTTTCAACATCCTCTTTTAAGTAAACCCGGATTTCCGCTTGGATGCCGTTGATTTCGGGAGCGGGCTGATACAATGCCAAGGAGAAGGAATCGTTTGCTGGGGGGTGAGAAACTGCAGAAGCTTGGGTTTGAGTTTTATCCTTAGTAAACTTGGCCTCGAATTCCAAAGCCTCCTGGATGAAAAGGGCCTCAATATCTTGAACGGATAGCTTGCAATGCTCAACGATGAATTCTTGATTGTTCTTCCAGAATGCAAGCTTGAATTTTGGGTCGAGGATCATTGCGCACACATAAGCTGGTTTCTTGATGGCTTCTACGAGATACTGATCAATCTTTCTGATCATCTGGTTAGCAGGTTGAATAAGCTGAGCTTGGTCATAAAGCCCATCGCGAATGGTGTGGAGATGTTTGATCAAGATGGTGTAGACTGGAAGGGCTTTGTTCAAGGTCGGGTACTTTGAGCCGCATAAAATTTCGGTGGCATCGCTGAGTGGTTCAAGGAGTTTCATGATGTTTCTAGCGTGATTCCATACGGCCGAGGATAAGATGAATTTTGTAGTTTCAGTATTCTGTCGGCAGAAGTGGTTACAGGACTTTTCAAGCAAGGTAGCACGTTTGAGCATTGAGTAGGTTGCATTCCATCTTGTTGGAACATCAATCTCAAGGCCTTTGATATCTTTGGCAAACAGATCGGGTTGACAGGAGTTGACATCGACTGCAAACCTCTCACGTCGTTGAGGTGAAAACCAAACCCAGGTGCAGAGTCCGTGAATCCGTTTCAGGATTGTCTTTGAATCGATTCCTTCTCCATCGGGGGCTGATATCAACATACCGATGTTCATTTGACATGGTTGGGTACTGCGTTCTTGATTGTTTGTAGCCATCGATACCTCGTTGCCATTGCCATCATCTTCAAATGATCCAAGAGCCGAAATTCCAATCTTTGCGACTAGATTGATCACATGTGCAACACACCCAAGAATATGGGTTGAGCTCTTGAAGTGAGATATTTGAAGATCAAGTTCTCGAGCCATTTTACCGTTAACCAAAGCATTATCCGCGGTGATTGTGTGCAGTAATTCTGTGACCGAGTATCTTTCAAGTGTTTCAAAGAATAATTCGGCAAATTTTTTCCCATTATGGATTCCTGTCAACAAGAGGAAGGTGGTCAAGATGCCATTTAGGACAAAGTAGAGTCTTTTGAAGAAAGAAAAAGCACACACCTTCAACATGTGGAACTGCAAGTGTCAAGTCGCGCATTTGAAAATTTTCGTCGATGAAGTGAGCCGTTACTGCCATGAAGGCAGTAACATTTGGGGCCTTCCAGGCATCTTGAGTGAACGATATCGAAATCTGATTTTTCAAGTAATTATTTTTAATCGTTTTTTCGGATTCTTGAAACATTCGGCCAACATGTCGAGCAATCGATACTTGGTTAGTATGATTAGCTCAAGTGATGGCATCTTCGTTGAGGAGGCCCATTAGTTCTCGGAAGGATTTTCATTCAACTAATGCGAAGGGGAGGTCACAGTCGGCAATCATGTAGACTATGGCTGAACGAAGGGTTTCACTGTTTAATTCAGCCTAGATTTATAGGTAAAGAGAATCAGTACAGACATAATTGAATTTTTTCATGAAACAAAGCAAGAGCTCAGTCTGTTCACCTTTGGTTGCAAAATACCTGATTGGCTCCATTTCTTGATGTCCCCGTGGTTCATCCTGGTCTTCTTTGTCAGAGTTGGATCGGAAAGGTGATGTACTTTGTTCAGGTGTCCATGGAAATTCTTGGTACTCCCGCTTTTATCTTTCTTGATAGCTTTTCCGTAAACCTTTCCGCTCTTCAAAACAACCTGACAGTTCGCATACTCGGTTCCTTCTTGGTGCTGGAAGTGGGTCCAGACCCAACTTTGCTTTCCAGATACGGTCCCGCCTTGGCTAGTTTCAATTTCGTCTAGGTCAATAACCTTGGCAGTTGTTGATGGTGGAGGAATGGCCCGTTTTTCTTTTTGATTTGGAGCGGGATCCGGATTTTGCTGTTTTCGCTTCATCGTGATTCACTGCCGTTGGGGGTGGGGGTAATTAGGTGGTGCTCCACGTGGACGACTGTCCAGTTGCCCCTCCTTTTTTTTTAATGGGCAGAAAGCCCCGGGTCATCGGGTCAAACCCCGACTTTCCGGGGCTCGGTCCTCGGGATGTCCCTCCAGCCCCGTCCCGAACCCCGGGACAATCCCTTACGTTCAGCAGGACATCTCCCACATTTGAGGCTGACCCGGATTACCAGGCTGAAATGGAGGAAGGACACAGGGGCCATGCTGGCTGCCAAA